CCCGTTGCGGAGGCGCCTCCCAACAACGAGCGGTCCCTATCCCCCGTCGTCGTCGTGACCTTCAAAAGCGTTATTATTACTCGGGGGGTCCCTCCTAGAATCGGCGGCGGCCGCGGCGGTGTGGGCGGGGTCAGCGTGTGGCAGCCCGCCTCTAATGTTATGCACACTGCAAAGTGTTAGCATGCGGAGCGTTTTGACAGTGACTGGGTCTACTCCATTTTATCAAGGCTCCACCACTCCCCCCTCTTGCCCCCTTGCCCCCTTTCTCCCTCCCCCCCACCCCTTCGACTGGGGCCGTGGGTGGCGGGAGAGGGGGGTAGCGGAGGCGGTCGATGCCGGCGCTCCCCACACGGGGGTGCGAGGGCGGGGGGGCCTCGGGGCACGGGGGCTGGTGGGCGGCGGGGAAGGGGGCAACCTGGGGGGTGGAGTTTGGTCGGGCCAGCCGTAGGGTTGAGCAGCCAGCGTGAAGCGGACTGGAAGAGAGAACGGCAGGGGAGCAGGGGCCTTCGCATTAAAAAGCCAACATCTCGCGGCCACATCTCTCTGATGAGGCCAGACCGACTCCTTTTGCCCCAAAGCTGCACTCTCTCTTTCTGTTTCGCTTTGGACTAGAACTTGAGTCGCCCCAATAGTTTGAGTCCCGCTGTGGGTTTTGGGGCGCGGATGGTATAGGGCTTCTAGCAAGCCGGGCCAAACATCGTCGATCGAAAGTGGCACACTTTGGGGTATGAGAAAATGTGGAAAGGGGAGTCTCTCTTCGGTTGCCCACAAATCGCAACACACAACACAACAGGCTTTGCTCAAACTTGCTCCCTTGAGAAGACTACAGTCTCGGTCGCGCTTACCTTTCAGTCCTATAGCGGGAAATGTTTTTTCCTACTTTAATATGTTTACAAACGTTTTGCGAAGCCTGTAACAAACTGTGGGAGTGTTTGTGTTCTCAGTGAATGGCTCTTTTTCTGTATGGACGCATTCTGAATTTTTTCGCATGTTCCTAACTTTTCCTCTCTGTTCTCTCGTTTCAGGACGAGGGCAGGGGAGGGCCATGGCGCCCCCTTTGGACCCCCTGCGGGGCCTCGTGAGCGAGCTCGTGCGCATGAAGCGGGATGCGGGCTCCGAGGACGAGCCCGAGGCCGAGGAGGCGGAGGTCGAAGGGACCCCCGCGGCCGCCGTCAAGGAGACGGTCAAGTCGGCCGCCAAATCGGTCGGCAACAAGATCAAGGAGGCCCTCACCACCGCCGCTTCAGCAGGTGAGTCTGGGCTGCACCTAGGGGTACAATACTCACAAAAATCAATGTTCATTTACCCCATTCTGAAAAAATCAGAAATGACAAAAAAAAAAAAAAAATCAGCTTTAAAAAAAAAACTAATAAAACTTAGAAAAATCTGATTTAAATAAAATAAAAGAGAAGAAGTAAACAAAAATCAAGAAAAAAATAGAAAATATGGTGTACGCTTTTATATTTTCCTTTTGTGAAATACCCCTCGGGCCGCCCTCGGGCTGCACGCGCGCGAGGATGTAACTCTAACTCACCGTTCTACCGTTCTGCCTGCCTACAGCGGCCGGGGAGGGTAAGGAGACCACCGCCGGATCGGAAGATGAGACGACAGCATCGCCCACGAAGGGGGAGGCCGCCGTCATGGTCAACAAAATAGCAGAAGAGATGGGCGTCCCAACGTGGGGGCTCGTAGCCATCGCCATCGGTACGGTTTGGTTACACAATTTGTTTTCGGACACCTTTCTTTTACGTTCTTGCTAATAGTGCGTAAACAAATCATTACAAGTGTATATAAAACTCAAAGCTTTCAAACAGAGGTTTCTATTGCTGTGGTAAATACTGGAAATGCGGATGTTTCGCAGCTGTCCTGGTCGTTCTTGGAATCTGCGGGTGCTGCATAAGGCGCTGTTTCCGGAAGAGGCGATCCAAAGATGGGAAGAAGGGGCTGAAAGGAGCCGTGGACTTGAAATCGGTGCAGTTACTAGGATCTGCCTACAAAGAGAAGGTGCGAGTTTTGTATAAGGTTCCCCCCATACTGTGCTGCCGCAGGAAACTACTGGCTAAGGAAATGGCAATGGTCACTCACACTATGTCTAATATTTTATATTACCAAGCAGGTTAAAGTCGTGTCAAATGTACTAAAATGGCAGCCAGTAAGGCAAGTAAAAGCTCAAGTATGGGATGCTAGGCAAATATGGACATTTCTAAATTTAAATACAGTTTGCTGGAAACGAAAAGAACGTTTATCAAGCAAAAAGTCGTTCGGTCCCCAATTCCACATTTTGTTTCTATTTTCATGTCTGGTACAGGTCCACACAGTTCTCGCACCTTTTCGACTGTATCTAGAAAAAACCCACATATTTACCTCTCATTGCACAACCATAATTACACTACATATGTAACATTGCATTAATAATTATTTAACTAGCATGGATTCTATAACGAGAGTACATGTCGCCTTTTTGATTAAATCGTAGTAAAGTTGGCATCAAATGCAAAGAAGCGCTAGTATAGAAATTATCAATTCAGAACATATTTTTTCAGTCACTTTAGAATCATTCGATTCTATTATACCGTGTAGATGCCGCCTCTTGATTATCCGTAGAATAAGCTGGCATCAATGCAAAAAAAAATCATCAACAAAAAAACAATTTGCTAAACTAGAAACTACAAAATCATATTTTCACTCACTATCTCATTCACCGTAGAAATACAAGACGCATGTATGGTAGTACAACAATAGTATATTTTTAAGCCCCTACAAAAAGGATACCGAAATAAATCTCTCAAATCCATGGTCTTTGAAAACCACATGGCTCACACGTGATATAAAAAGAGAAATTGAAGTGAGGAAAAATGTTGAGAGGTATCCATGAGAGCGTGCATGCGTCCGCTCATGGGCTCAGCTCGTATGTAGATAGCCTTTAATCGTTAGGGGGTTTTCGTCATGGCAGGTGCAACCCGACATGGAGGAACTGACGGAGAACGCCGACGAAGGGGCCGACGAGGTTGAGAGCAAGCACAGCGAAGTGAAACTTGGCAAGCTTCAGTTCAAGGTGAGTGTTGGAAAGTCCAATGGAAATTATAACCAGACATGCATTTACGTGTTTGCATCAGTGCTTAATAGCAATTTTTTTATTGCAGCTGGAGTACGATTTCAACTCGAACAGCTTATCGGTAACAGTGATACAAGCAGAGGAGCTTCCCGCCTTGGACATGGGTGGCACATCAGATCCTTATGTCAAAGTCTATCTACTTCCTGATAAGAAAAAGAAGTTCGAGACGAAAGTTCACCGCAAAACACTGAATCCCGTTTTCAATGAAACGTTTATCTTTAAGGTAAGTGGAAGGTGGTTGACTTACATCTAATAGACCATATTCGCTCTCGGCGATGAAGGAGGAGGGAAATCAGGACCGGAACCAGTACCTTTATCCTGCTATATCTCCGCGACAAAACTAACAAAACTGCTGTAAAAAATATCAGAATTATTCTGGACGATGCACCAACCTCTCTCAAAGCCATTTATGGACGTTAAAATCTCGAAAATTTTACTATTGGTTCCGGTCGGGTAGGCCAGGATTACTTTCTTCTTCGTACCGAGCCGAGACCGAATATGGTCTACTAACTGTTGCTTTGTAGCTAACTTTTTTCCCCTAATCACAGCAAGTACCATACGCTGACGCCATGAACAAGACCCTAGTCTTCGCTATTTTCGACTTCGATCGCTTCTCAAAACATGACCAGATTGGAGAAGTCAAGGTGCCTCTCTGCCAAGTGGACCTTGCGCAGACTATCGAGGAGTGGCGGGAGCTGCAGGGTGTCGAGGGCGAGGGAGGTCAGGTAAGCAGCAGGTGCCCCGTAAATGGTATCCAAAATTACTTTTTAATTATGTCAAAAAGAATAACAGAATTAATCATAAAACGACTCAGTTCTATTACTAAACTTTTTTTAACGGCTTTACTCGTACATATGAATTATGTTAAGTTAGTCACAGGTTGACTATCCTTTATATTTTGTCGTCACGCCAACATCGTTGACCATATGGAATCAGCATATACATTCTGAGATTTCCGTAGAAAGGGAGTAAACATCAGTAAAGAGAAACAATGTCAACCAGAAACGATCACCATGTATTTGACTTGGCGCTGGTGAAACAGATGTTTTTAATATGACCAAGCAATATTCTACACTAATAATCTCATTTTACTATCATTCAGCATAAAATCAAATAGGTAGAGAAAGAGCGCAAACACCACTTAAAACAAAAAGTTTCATGGTTTAGGTACTAAACCCACACGTACCACCCCAAATATAAACGAAAACATGTGTAGTCTTCAGATGACTGATTTTACCAAATAATAAAAGGTGGATTTCAGAACCACCCAGAAAGTTAAAGGAAAATTTTCAGGCCTCTTTTAAGTTTTGTTGCGCAGTACAAATACTTTTACAGGGGGATTGAAATGTGACCTCTTAAGGTGCCTACACACTTAATGTTTCCCGAGGCGATGCCAACGATGAAGCGCCTGCCACGCGATGGTTAGGCCAACCCGCCAAACAGCTGTGTGCAGACGGTGGCCTAGTCTGAGCGCCCAAAGAGCGGAGGGTCGCCGGGGCTCGGAGAAGGGAACGTTTTACACCCAACGTTCCTTTGCGTCATTTCGGGGGACATTCATTGTTGAGGCACCATAAATCATACCAACTTAGGACCCTTTCGCGTATTTTTGAACAATTTTCCAGAGGCGAATTTAGTCAGCTTAGGAGTTTAGTTTTCACAATAATCATTTATCCTTATTTCATCCTCATATACCATATGTAATTCAATTACGTAGGATTCCTTTTTTTTTCGATCATTCTTGTATGTGACTGTTTAAAGCACAAAGCACAGGGACGTTGACTTATGCCTTTGTATGATGACTATGACCATCATTAAAAGTGAGTTACGTCCATGGTTCTGGTACTGGTACTACAATTAGTTTCGGTTTTCCGTAGGTATAGTGTTTTTTCAAAATTGAATGTATTTGCAAGCTTTTGGAGTTTCCTCCCCTTGACTATATTCTTAACACTCTAAATGGTCTTGATGAACAGACAGTAGGCAACTGTGACACCCAGTTCAAACATATTATTGGCACTCCAGGTACGAGTACTTGATGGTTTTTACACGTCATTCATGTTTTCAAGGTTGGCACGCTTGTGCCCTTCTGTCAGGTTAGTAACGAGCTATACATTCTCAAAGTTTTTGTTTCGTATCTTCGCTCGTGATTCATGAAAGTAGATTTGATTTCTTCACTAGCAGGATTGCCGTGATCACTTTTCGCCTAGATAATCACTTGGTACACATCCGCTCAATTGATTGTTCGACATGCCATTCATTTGCCACAAATAATTTATTCTGTTGAGAATTTGGTGAGTCTTGTTTTTCACTCGGTATTTAGGACATCCAGAAATTGGCACTAGGTAAGTGACAATTTACAACTTTGCCCACAATACTGCTATTACTTTTCGTTTTTTCTCATGTAACTAAAGAGCAAAGTGGCTGCTAGTATTGACTCCTGTTTTTAGTAGGATCAAAAAGTTAATTAGTTGAGTGCCGGCCCACAACTTTGTACATGTCAAAGAGCGCGCCATTCTCTGTGAGCCTCGTTACACATTGCGGTTTTCTCACTTATCACGAGAACGATGAGAATTGCTTCAACACTTACATACAATCGTTTGAATTCCAACATTTATTACCCATAACCACCATTTAAATGGATTCAAACCCGTGAATAAAAAGCACCAGCGCCGAGTATCGACACTGATCACGATATGTTTTCGAAATCACATTCAAATATTTACTATTTCAAAGTTCTCCCTCCAAATTGTGCTGTGGAGTTATCTTCTTACTTTTTCTATAATCGTTGCGGTTACCCCTCTTTCCACTGTGAATGAGTACATGTCGCCACTCAGCCTTCTGTATAGGTAAGGGTCTTTGTTGTGTGCGGGAGAATTGCAAAATCACCGACTGGTTAAGTGTTTTACGTTTGTTTATATGGGCTTTTGTGTGGGCTGTGTTGGCACGATGTAACGAAATGTGTTGAAGGTTTTACTTATGTCGTCATACCGTGGTACTTTCTCCCTTCTAACGAATTAGGTTGATTCGAACTAATGCCAAAAGGTTTAAATTTTATAGTGATCATCTGCTTGTCAATGGCAAGTGTTCTTGTAGATAACATTTTCTATTCTCTAATTCTCAGCTTCTCGAACTGCATCTAAACCGTGTGGTTGGAATTCAAACGACACACGTGCATTAGTTAGACTTCAAGCTAGATCCCTTTTTAACACCCACGTAAAATACTCCAGCTTGTTTTTTCTTATCATTCTCGTCGTTATCTTCTCCACACATAATGACCGGCAGAGAACGAACTGGACGGAACGCTGCTTCGTCCTATTTTCGTGATCTGCCGTTTTTTGTGTGTAGTAGAAAACGACAAAAATATACCGAAAATAAGGTTGAGTATTGTATACGTAGGATAGTCGCCGAAACTATCGGATTATAAATCTCATTAATGCTTTTTGCTGAAAAGAAATAACGAAGATTGCTTACGTTTTCGCTCTCTTCTCTAGTCCATACTACGGTATTAAAACGCTTGCGCAATATGATAAAAAATTATAAAATCCCGAAATAAACGGTGCGCCACATTTTATGCTTGCCTAAAATAGTACAACCATCAGTTTTTAATTATTATTATCACTGACGACAGATCTGCATACTGTACAAGTTTGTTTACATGGAACACAGGCGGTGCGAGCTCCTCACTTCTCACTTTTACAGTCAATACTTTTTAATGTGCATGTTGCGAATGACAGTAAGACAAGTCTCCTAAAATTTGTTACGTTGATTTTTTTATATTTTTTGCATGACAAGCCATACATATCAAATATTTTCTTAAAATATTTGATGTGTGCAGCATGCTCCAGAAAGTACTGCAATTAGGTTGGACATGTTGCAGCGCCGCGATTAAAGAAACTGATTTAAATATTACAGGGTATGTTTCTGACTCTGGCACTGAAGTAGTTACATGATAACAGAACACTTGGTCGATTTTTGCAACATTAATAAGCAGCATGACTCGACCCCTCCGCACGTGCTTGCCGAGGAGTAAGTGAAATGTACATAAATGCTTCATTTCTTGTCATACTAAATATAGAACCAAAATCATAGACGTCTGATATAATCCGCAGAGCACATTAGGGAGCAAGGGTTTCTCCGGAAGCATGTGCGAAACGTGATGTTTTGTGAGGAGTTTTCCCACACAAAATCCTGCGTTCGAAAACGCCCTTTTTTGTACAATTCTTCCTAATTTTACAGAGGAGTAAAATTTAGCCACAGTGCCACAGTGAGGCAAGTTGTACACAACCATCTTTCTTTTAAAAAAGAACTTTTTTTCTTAAATCTGTTTTAAAGTGGTTTGGTTTTTTAACACTAGTAACAAATTTTATGGGACACTCCACTCATGGGCTTTTATGTTGTATCCTTCGACAACGCACACATTTTCGGGGTGATTGGTGTGACTGTAAAGCAAAGTCCAAATGGCAAGATTTCCAAATTTTCAATATATCAGCTTTATAGTGGCGAACACCAACTTAATTTACATTAGTTAAATTTTATATCTTTTACCACACATTTAGTTTGAAATATTTGTATCTTTTGTGTTCTACTTATTGCATTTTATGGTTTTACAAATTTCAAGAAATGTTGCCTGGAAACATTTTCGCGTAAGATCGATTATTATGTAACATAATGTGTTATTTGTGTCTGGGTTTAGATTTGATAAGTGAAAAGATAATGTTGTGAGCAGTTTATTTATGTTGTTTCTCCTTTTCTCTCTGTTTCTCTTGCCGATTTACCTCTGCTCTGCTTTTGGCCTATGTAAAATGGTTGTGCTCCGACTCAATGCATGCTGCTTCATTCAAATATACACGTAAGTACTGGTTCCATTCAGTGTGTGTCCGTTTTACACAAATAACGGAGAGCGATTTCACGCATTAAGACAAGCCCTAGATAACTTTTTATTCTTATGTCCAAGTACCTCGTCGGCTTCTAAGCTGTTTTAACAATGAAATCGTTCTCCTAGAAAATTGGTGTTAATCTCTTGTGCGTGGTGTAAATTTTGTTTGTGTAAATATATTCATACAAACGCTTGTGCTATTGTGGCATGTATTGCCTGTAGTAGTTACAAGAGCTATAGAGGCTGCGCATGTTGTAGATGCATGGCATGTTTTCGTCGATAAAGTTCTGGCAGAAAGATAAGTTTGTATTCCCTTTGATCAAAAGCAGCCATTATTAATCTGCTATTGTAATACTAATTTAGGAAGCTATTCAATGTTCTTCCTGTCAGATCTTTTAACTGTGAATGTCCTTGTATATGCACTGGTCTTATTCCGCAGCGATTGGCCGCCTCCATCGGCTGCACTTCTTCCGCTTCAGTGAACATCATGGAACGTCTTATTCATGCTGTATCCGTCCTTTATATTTTGTTTGCTTTCTGCATTGTACCACCGACCTCAACACATCACCCACAGAACACAGAAGACGGTTCCCGAAGAATCAAATCCTGCTGAGGGAAAAACACAACAATTTTGCACTAGGTCGACTGGTTTGAGGGGACATCGAACCCAGCTCACTAAATACAATGAAATATATTGTTGCGTGTAAATCTTGAATACATTCGCTGAAAGTGGACTCCCATGAGGTTCATTATTTTCATTGGCACCAAAATATTTGAATGTGCTGTAACACATTTCCGGCACTTTGTCAGCACACTTGGGTGTGCTCCTATAGTAGTTAAAATTACATTGCGTTGCCGGCGCGATAATTCTTCTCTGTTTTGAATTACAGCTCTATTCATCGGAGCCAGGGACACTTACACCTTACATTAATATATTTCATCGCTGTACCTCTATCGTGGCATGTTCGTTGTTACCTGTCACAATCTGCCCTGTCTGCCTGTCTGTGCCACTCAGTGTTGTGTATTTGTTGCAGTGTTTGACACGCCCGCTGCTCCCTAAGTATCTGTGTCCGTGTTGTATATATGTCGTTTGTCGAACTTACTCATAACATATTCTGTTCATCTATAATGCTGCCGTTAATTATACACGCTATTAAGACTCATCCATCAGGTTTGCGCCCATCTTTCTAAAACGTTCCCCATTCACACATTTTGTAGTGTTCCGATTCTATTCTAATAATTGCATTTCAATTTCATCATTTAAACTTTTATTTTGATTTTAATGTTTACGGTGTGCCTTAATAAAGAGTCCTAGAATGGAAGAGACTATGAAGGGCTCAAATGCTTCGTTTTATTTCTCATACTTGCTGTTTCCGACCTGGCGCGGCGCCTCCCTTTTTTTTGGACCGGTAAACCGAAAACCGATGCAATGGAGCATTATTCGCTCAGATGATGTGGGCCCGTAGAGATCCATTGTTGAGACGTCGCATGCTGCTATGCACCCTCCTACACTGAAAACTCAACAGTGGTTGTACAGTGTGCATGGCATGCACACAATTGCTCCGAAAACTCAACAGTTGACACTACTTCCTCTCAGACGCATAACTTTTTTTCAGTTTCCTCCAGAGCTTTCAAACGAGCTACCATGTGATAGGGTTCAAATCGACTAATAGTATAACTTGGTTAACGTTACCGAAATATTCGAAAGAATTTCGGTAGTGGTCAATTTGAACCCTATCGAATGGAAGCTCGTTTGGAAGCTATTTTACGAGAAAAGTGGAGATGTCTCCCAATCTCCAAAGTTAAGCGTCTGAAAGGAAATCGAGTCCAATTGTTGAGTTTTTAAAGCATAATTGTGTGCCAGACATGCACATTGTTATTACAGTGTGCTTGTCCATGCACCCTGTAGGGTGCATGTACATGTATGTATAGTGTGCAATGCGCACTGTTGAGTTATCAGTGTAAGGGTTGGAAAATCCAGCAGACCGTTCTACGTGGTTACATTCTTGAGGATGCGACCAGCCTAGTAGGGTAGGTGCTGGCAGCAAGCGCTGAAGACAGGTGAGCCCTCCCCGACCGCCCCCTTGTTCCACTGACTAAAGCTAAGTACTCGTAAGAACTTACGCTTACGCAACGCTCAGTGGGAGCGGGTTGGAGGGGGTAGCACACTGAGCGTGGCGTGAGCGAAGTTCTTAGTTGAATATAGCTTGAGATATGCCATGGCAGAGCTTTCCAATGCGATACCGGAAAGGTGGTGCACGAGAAATAAAACGTCGTATTTCTGCTCTCCGCTGTTCTTACCCCGTCTACGACTCTTTATAAAAGTGCTATAACTGTTTTCTATGATCTGGATGGGCGCTTAACCATTATATCACTGAAATTGAGTGCACACATAGTAGTCAATGGTGCCCGTGAGTGTTGTAGTCAGTATTGCAGTGTGCGCGCTTTTTCGGTGATGTATTCACGAAAATTTCATCATCTCTTATCAAACTTGTGTCACAATGACAGACATATCAATTAAGCACTCTACATAAGACTACAGGACACTTCGCGTCATTTGTGAGTATATCTTTATTGTAACATTCTTAAATAGCTATCAACGGTTATAAACAAAAGAAAATTAAAAAAAACAATGATAATCATAATAATTATAATAATAATTAAAAAGCCAAAAGGCACATTTATTTTCTCACATCCAAGAAAACAACGCATCTGAAAAAATACAGACAAACCCAACACTAGTCATAGCGGTGTATTTCGTAGCTTCAGCGGCATATAATTCAATCTTTATTTTCTTTGTATTTTTTTTTTTTGTTAGTAAAAGCCATGAGTGGTTTTGTTTGACCTTTGTTTGACCTGGGTGTTGTGGTGTGCATACTTGCGTATCAGTAGAAAATGGAGTGGCCCTCAGTATCCCTGCCTTATAGTGGTGTTGTGCTGTCTAACATAACGACCAGACCAACACAAGCGATCCCTCACTAAATATGCCCCTAATTTTTATGAAAGCTATTGTTGTGTATTTTCGGTGTTATAGAGAGAATATTTAGTGAATAGTATCCCAAGTATACCGTGTGTCTTAGATGTTTCGATATATGCCCAGCAGTATCTAGGAAATGTGTGCTTCACACACCTCATGAACAATCCTTGCCCGACTCGTTTGAAATATAGATACCTGCTGTAGACTTTGGTGGTGTCAGCATGTTAGTAACTCCTAAGTGACCGTCCAAATGTATCCAATCATGCTAATCGTACCATTTTGATTAGAAAAGCCGAAGCGCAAAACCAGTTTTGTGTTAGATTTGAAATCCTGTAGACCCTAAGTCTTCACCCCACTCGCGGTCGCCGCCTGCGCCGCTTTCTCTCTAAGATGTCTCTCAGGCCCCTAAAATGCCTTACTTGCATGCTCGGCAAACGCCTGTAAAGTTGTAATGTGCCCTTTGGCGTTCTAATCCGAAAAAATGTTTAGCCCAGGCGCATTATAGCGTCCTCTGTATTTTAGGGGTGCTTTTTCTTACCCGCTTCAAAATGTATAAACTGTATATCGCTTCGGGCGGTCGGGCCAGTCCGGCAAACCCACCAACCCTGTCTCGTTTCCTGTCGGCGTGCCGCCTGGCCGAGCCGGAAGTAGCTTTGTGTCTAGCCTGTTTTTGTAGCGCTGGTTGTGCTCGTAGCGTGTCGGTCACTTAGCGTACTAACATGCGAATCAGAATAAAGTGGGATGCCTTGGCTCACTGTCCATATCAGACTCAATGCCAAGCAATAGCAAATAATGTCGAATTATTGTGAGGCTTCCAGCTGTGTGTGTTTGTGCATTGAAAGACTAAAAGTGGAATATCATGTCCTAGTATTGTATTATTTTTTATTAAAATGCTAATTGAAATATGATAAGTTTGTCCAACGCACATGGCTCTCAGTCTCTATTTAATATTGACTAGATTGGCAAGCAGTTCTCCGTGGGAAAGTGAGCAAGAAATCAAATATGTGTCATCCCCTCCGCCATTTAAGTCCCCTGCATAAAATTCCTTGACAAAGTTAGTTCAAAAAATAAATTCTGTATTATTAACAGAACTATTTTTAAACTGTACTTAATCTAGAAGTTTTAAGGAACGTCGAACGCTCTAACCCTTTTCCACCCCAAAAATAGAAGCTTTCCTTTTGTCTTTGTGGTATAAATACAATCTACTTTCATATTTCAATGAAGCTATGTATTGTTCAGTCCTCCACAAAGACTAGCATTGTAGTGACAAGACAAGAGTCACTGTCTTCCTCCCCGACCTTTTACATTTCGCTGGATTCAACAAAATTTGCAGCGAGGCCGAGGGCTTATGATGGCGGAGGTCTAAACATTATTAAAAACGTTTTAGGGTGGACAGGAAAAATTGTTTTTTAAAAATGGAAACCTTAGTCGTTATTTGTTGAGGCGATGTTGGCTTAATGTTCGTAATGCAACTTAAGAGGTCTCCTTTGAAAAAGAAAGTTAATTGGTCAAACGGTACTGTTTGTTTAGACGGGTGGCATAATAATTTACCGTCAAAATGAGAGTTGATTCAGTTTCTATATAACCAAGAGTCATGTTTAAAAAGTTAAAATAGTCAAACTCTCAAACTTTTCCGATTTCTTGCGTTTTTTTTTTTGTTAGAAAAATATTGTGCAATTGCGAAATTTAATATAACTTCATGCGTAACATGCATTTCTCAAAGTGTGCAAATACCTAAAAATTCTTTGCCACGTGATCCTCTAGGACAACAAGCTGGGAGACATCTGCTTCTCGCTCCGCTACGTACCCACTGCTGGCAAACTCACTGTCGTCATTCTGGAAGCCAAGAACCTCAAGAAAATGGACGTGGGTGGACTATCAGGTAAGCTACAGCGTCGCAGAGGTCATTTAACAATAAAGAATACACATATTCTTAAACAAAGGTGTGTGCCCTTCGAAGACTGACAAGGGTGTGTCAAAAGGTGACCCTTTAAAATGTGTGTGACATATGTCATATCACACACAAAAGAATTTATGACAACCAGGTCACACATTCTTTTGGGTAGGTTTAAACTTTCCACCATTTGTCACACACTTTTCTGTGGGGTACACCATGATCTTTCATGTGTGGCACGCACTTTTTAAGTGTTTTAATGCCACACATTTCAAATTTTTGAGTGCACGGATGAGTATGTTGTTGTGGTCCTAGGAAAATTAGAAAATGATTTTGTGTTTCAGATCCTTATGTGAAGATCGCGCTCATGCAGAATGGAAAACGCCTTAAAAAGAAGAAGACGAGTATCAAGAAATGTACGCTCAACCCATACTACAACGAGTCGTTCACCTTCGAAGTTCCATTTGAACAGATACAGGTAAATGTTAATGTTGACACGCATATATTCGGCATGACAATCCTGAACATCGTCACATGGTTTCACTCATTATGCCGCCCAAGCAAGAGGCTCTTCTTCAGCCAGGGGCTAGGCAGACCCGCATGGTCTTGATGCATGGTGGGATTGCCTACCCAGAGTTCGCAGGCGTCAAGAGGCCAGGGTGTGTGGGGCGGGGTGTTTTGTTGCGTACCGGGGGCTTGCGGGTGCGGAAACAGGGTCACACATCTAGACAGACCCGCACGGTCTGAGTGTATGGCGGGATTGCCTATTCAGAGTTCGCAGGCACCGAGAGGCTGGCTATGCAGACCCGTCTGGTCTTGCCGTTGGGCGGGGTTGCCTACCCAGAGTTCGCAGGCGCCAAGTTGCCGGCTATGCAGACCCACACGGTCTTGCTGCTGGGCGGGTTTGCCTGCCAGGAGTTTGCAGGCGCGAAGGGGCCTCGAGGGGCCTGTTCAATGACACCTTCACTGTAATGGACATTTTCGCTGTTCAATTTACAGAAAGTGCAGCTGGTGGTGACCGTCGTGGACTACGATCGTATCGGTACCTCTGAACCCATTGGCAAGGCAGTCCTAGGCTACAATGCGTCGGGCACAGAGCTTCGCCACTGGACGGACATGCTTGCATCTCCTCGCAGACCGATTGCGCAGTGGCACACGCTCAAGGACCCAGAGGATGGCGACAAGAAGGACTAAATATAAAGTTAGTATTATTCGCACACGCTCCACTGAACGTGTTCATCTGTCATGCACGTAATAATGTCCTCTTTTTGTCACAGATATAGTGGCTTAAAGCAAAAGCAACTTACGCCAGCCACCGACCGCCCCTATTTCCTTCCGCTGGGTGTACACGAGCTTTATTGATCCGGCTCAGCCTTACACTTCGGCTTTGGGAAACATCTCGGCCCTCGAAGTGTTTACTTAAAATCAAGTTCGTGTTTAAGCTTTAAATCGAGGGCAATTCTTCATTACTTCTCAAAAATTTTTCATTTCTAAATTTTGCCATCAGTCCATATTGCGTGTGTACTTCATTCCAATGTTAAACGTGTCGTATTCGAAATACATTCTGTCGTAGATATTTTACCATTATCAGTATTGTTTGGACATCTCCATGATATGTCGAGCCAACAATGAATTGTTACTGTCCTTTGCTTAAATGGACTATTATCTATCTCATTTGACTGTTGAACTGGGAGGATTAGGATTGGCTCAGCAATTGCGGATGGCCGGATTCAGATGTGTAAGCCTTGAAGTACCATAAAATTAATTTGTTATTGTAAAAAGTATAAAATGGGCTGAATTCACTTTGGCTCTTAAAATTATTGACCACTTCACGCACCTTTCACCCAAAATAGAACTTTGTTTCGTTCTTTGCCACATTATGGTCCTCCCTGACAGTGATGAAATGTTGTTCATTGTTTAACAACTTACTGAATTTATGGTCAATCCACCGGAATCTATCTTATTCTGTTCACGAGCAAACATTCACGTTTGTTATCAGAGCCAAGATGAATTCAGCCCAAAATTTGACGCACTAAAGCAAATCTATAACATTGTTTAATTTTGTTGTTGAACTTAAAGATGTGTTTATTCCAAAAAGAGCTCCTCTCGTCATATAATTCATATCATATTTTAAAGAAATATTGTGATTTCTTACTGAGGAGGCACCACGATCACTTAATAGAGTAGATAAACGTAATAGAACATCAACGAATGCTATTTTTAAGAAAATGCTTGACAATATAGTTAAGGGCGGTCTTTGCTACCCGATTAGCCGTTGACTGTCTAATTGTATTTACCATACAACCAATTTCACTCGTTTCATTCTCGTCAGAGTAACCAGTTATACTTGTGATGGTCACGAATTCACATTCTTTGTAAATTACTTCCAGTGAAACTGCCTACTCGTGTATCTCGTTCATGCAGGTTTTGGACAGGTTCGCTATTTGGATGCGACAAAAATAGACAATAGCTTAGATGTTAGAGAATGTAAACGGCACTGGAGGTGAGGAGAGTGAGATGTGTGATTGTGTGAGAAAGAGCGAGAGTGCATGAGAGTTCTTGGCAGTTATTCTTCTTGTAAAGTATTGACTGTCAGGGATCATAATTCTTCCTCGTAACTATTAACAAGAGGTTATCAGCGCCAATAGAGCGATGATGACAATGTGTAAATATAGCTTGAAGATCAGATGTACAATGTACACTCTTTTAAAGAGTGGCTGTTTCGTTGGCACTCCATAGACTGCTTTTTGACGGTGGCACGAATACACATTTTTCGTTTACCCCTTTATCTGTCATCTTTTTGCAAACCAGAAGATGTCTTTTCAAGGGATAACTTTTATTGCGAGGTGTACCGCAATTATGTACACACTAGCGCAAATATTGTGCATTGTCTCCTCAAAGGCCAAAAATATAAAAGAGTCAGCGCGCAGGGTGTGCTCCTTATTTCTCTTTAACTTTCAAAACTTGTACAAATACTATAATTTGTTAAAATGTGGCTTTCGTTGAGTTAAAAGTGTTAATAATTTACTTAAAACATGTGTAACTTAAAATCATTGTCATGAAAGCCTTGTGAATTGTCAGGGAATGCTCTTTAACGGCAACGAGACTGTCCCGTAGCCTCGTCCTAGCACACGACTTCGTTATGTAATGCAGACATCGCTTAATGATACGTTCATGTTTATATTTTTTTGTGGAATTATGTCAGATATCTAGATTTATTCTCAACTACGTTATGGAAAAGTTTAGCCCCATGAAATTATTTCCTCTTTGTTAATAACATTTAATTAATGTCCGTGTAGAATCAATTGTATAAGGAGTTAGTTGCACTCTTGAAATTTAAGTAAAGCAACTGCCGCCGGTACTACAGTACTCATAAATACACTTAAAACACTCCAAGTTCTTTTTCTTGTGAAATGAGAAGGAACTTCCATTAAAACAGCTAGTCAAATAAATTTGGTATGGCTCTTGACATTACTGGTTCGTTTAATTAAACGTATTTTGCTCTTTTACGACGGCGAATCCACTTTAAGAATAAATGAAATGTTATTTCAAGTGGAAAGGGGGTATGCATTAGCTCACTGAAAAATGAAGAGAGGTTTAAACGGTTAATCCTGATTTTGTGTCCTCTTCGTGCTAAACGAAACTCCTGCTATCTGCCAATAATTATCACGCTCGCTGATCACCTCTGTCCCTTGTAATGGGCAGAAGAGAACAGATTGCAAACAATGTATGTGTGCTTAGGTTCATGGTTAATTTTGTTTTGTTTTGTGAATCCGCCTTATAGCAAATTTTCTTTATCTTTTTCTGATTAACTCAAGATTATATTGTATATAATATAGATATATGCATGAATTGTATAAAAAATTAATGGTGAACATATTAGACTAGATATGTAAGTGGGTGACAACTAGCGTGTGACGTTGTGTTTGTTGGTAAATCACAAAAGGCATTAGAGTTCTGCATAATCTTATTGGTTTAAAATAATTTTTGTTATTTGGAGATCAATACTATTATTCTTGAAGTAGATTTGTGATTGAAAATGTGAACACGTTACAGGAATAAACTGACTCCATACTTGTAGACTGGTCTCTCATTGCATTTGCATTGCACATATTCCTTTTCCCGTGCTCCGGGGGTGGCTAGTAAATAGATGACGAGGGGGAAACGACTAAGGTAATCCGGCTGACAGCCGTTAGGTATTCCGGCAGGAGTAATCCGCGGAAATTTTAGGGTAATCCAGGGTAATCCCAAAGAAAAATTAACGTAATCCGGAGGATACTCCAGAGGTAATCTGGATACACTGATATATATAAAGTGTGCAACTGACGCACACTTTAAAGTGTTTAACACCGTGTTCCATACTACTATGTGTGCAACGCTATAACCGTTGTAAAAGTGAGCTATAGTGCTTGACGGTCAGGTTGAACATTTAAAAGTGTGCAACACACCTGTTGAACACTTCTAACTATTCAAAACTCGTGTTGCACACATAGAAGTATGCCACACGGTGTTAAACACTTTAAAGTGTGTGTCAGTTGCACACTCTATACATCAGTGTAATCCGTAATCCAGCTGACACAAAGTTTAATAGTCGTTTCCCCCCCGATGGATGAGCAGAGGTGGGAAACGGAACCTCTGGTCCG